AAAAAATATGCGAGAATGTTAAACATAATTTTCTCTTGATATTTTCCCCTTCAAGTACAGGATGTTATTTATAACATTTTTCATTTACAAGTGTAAAAGACTAGATAAATACATATTATTATATATACCGAGATTTTGTTTATATTTCAACAGCAATAGTTCAACTGAAATGCATACATTTTTCTTATAAAAGGGAAGCCATTAGTTTAATAGCTATGAAATATACATACATGCAAGTAAATATCAAAGTTATTATGTTTAATTCACATAATATAATTTTATAAAACCAAATGAATGAATTTTGAATGGTTGTGACATTGAATCAAACTCATTTCGTTATGTTATGCTATACAAGTAATTCACTAAAAATATTATAAAAAAATGCTAGTTGGCATAGTACTAGAATGTATTGATCTCAAAACAATTCAGAAAATTCTAAATCAATAATTTTTACTGCATGAATTTTAAAAAAATTTTTAATATAATAGAGTATAAATAGAAGGTTTTAATAGAATACACAAATTTCGTGCAATTGAAATGAAAATTTTAATTATAAACAATTCAATTTTTTAATTATTTTGTAAATATTAACCCTTTGTTGACTAACGCTGTTCTCACGTATTACCAACTTTAAATCGTTTAAAAATCGTAAATATACATTAAATTTTAATTTTAAGCTGTTAATATTTTAAAGTGTTTCATTATCTCACTATATAAATATTTCTTGATAGTCTTATTGTGAATTTAAATATGCTGACCGATTGCATTTAAACGTTTTACAACGCTTTGTAAAACGAGGAAAAAAAATCCAAGGTAATTTTGTTAATTTTTGGTTTTTGTTTTTTTTTCTATCTCTTCTATTGTATTCAAGAATCTATATCTTAACATTTTATTTAAAAAAAAAACAAATAACAGATTTCGTCTATTTCTATTCTCCGTCAAGAAAGGGTTAAAGAATGCTCAGCATTCCAGGCCTAAGTGTATGTATTTTCATTGTCTCCACTTATTAATATAATAATTAGAGCATGGAATATATTTAGAAAAAAATACAGCTCAATGCAAGTGATGAATTGATTTGTCATTGTCACAACTCTATCCAATCGATCTGAATGTTGCATTCTTCTAATTTTGCAAGAGTCTTTTTCATAAAATTATACTAATTTTTGTATGTTTTTATCCACATATATGCAAGTACTATAAACTTATTATTAGATTTAAATTGTAATTTATTCTGAATACGTAAATAGTCAAAATTTTATTATTTGAGAAATTTGCTATTACATAATATAATCTTTATAAATTTCCTAAAAATTTAATTTGGCGCCAAACATGTACGCATTGTAAGAAGTCAAAATTTTAAATATTATTCATTAAGTTAAACGAAATCTCTGAGACGACAGACAAGTAAATATTAGAATTAGTTTTATACAATTGCATTGTCAGTCATTTAAGAGATTAAAAATAATTTATTTTTATCCTTAGATCATTCATGAATGATTTATCATTGAAATGAAAATGTTTTTTATATCTCTATTATTAAACGCCAGTTTTTTTTAATTTCCTTCGAAGCCAAAACTCTATAACAGAAAACTGCAATAATTACAATTAATATCCCTTAAGCACCCACATTCTTTGGTAAATCCTCTTTTTTATTCAAACTACATATTTTATACAAAATGATTAAATTTTATTTTGTTGCAAATTACTTTGCATTCACCTATAAATTAAATTACACACAATTAAGTTAGTAGCAATAATGTCTAAATATTCTTAATTAGACTTTATTTATTGTACATGAAAGTTAATCCCATTTTTTTCACACAATTTCATTAAAAAAAATAATTTAAATTATAAATAAGCCCACATAGACGTAAGTATGAAAAAATATATTTTCTAAGAGCATCATTTGCACATGGTTTTTATAGAAATTTAAAAAAATATGCAAAATTATTTGACTATTACATTTTTTTTACCTATTCTGAATTTCTAAAAATTATGCATATTAAAGGACCAAAAATTCTAGTGAAATTTAATTATCGATGGTATATTCGTAAAGTTATGGGGGCTTTCCTTATCGGACGCTGATAAATACGAGTTTGCATTTATCTTTTTAGCCACTGCCATATTATGTTCCGATTTACTTATTTTAATAACGTGTCAAATATTCAAAATAAACAATGTACTTCAAAAGACGAAAAATTCATTTTCCCTGATAAGCAATAACTAAACGGTATGTCAATTTTTATACCCTGCACCTTCGTGAATGGTATTCACTTAGATATGGAGTTTGTAACCACTAGAAGGAGTCGTCTTCGGTAAAACTAATGTAGATATAAATATCAAATTTTGTGAAGGTGTGTCAAATTATGTTCTACATATATTCTCAAAATTTTAAAGGAATAACTGCACTAGTTTGGGTAGTTGCCATACAACTCCAAAAGCAAATTTTAAATATTTGGGAAAAAAATGAAAATACATTCATATAAATTGGCGGTCATGTGTCCAGTTATAAGTCAGACATATCCGTAAAGAATTCCATAGAATATGGTTCGACAGGTTCGAGTAATTGCCATACAACAATGAAAGCTAATTCTAGATATTTCAGAAACAAATTTTTAACCTCAGATTGTCAAGGTGCAGAGGTATAATTCGGTCGGACATTTTCAATTATCTGAATTCAAATTTTGGACAGTTTCAAATATCTGTAACATTACTAAGTTGTTTATATTTGCTATTTACTAAGAGGTCTGAGAACTAGATAACAATTTTATATAAGATTATCAATTTTACAGAATAAATTATTTTTCCCAAAATCCAATGCTAATTTCAAAATAAAACAAGTAATAAAATTTTCTTTAGTCTAGTCTAGTTGTAGTCTAGTCATATGATCATTTTATTTTATTTCTTGGTGTATATGAGTAAGTTAATCCTTTTTTTTCTATTTTATCAAGGGTAAAATTCTCAAACAATAAATTTATTTGGTGCTCTATAAAATAAACCAAGTTTTCTTGTATATTTTTTTTATGATTTCATCTTCTACTTTTATGATAACTTCTCCATTATGGTGTTGCATTCCTTTGTACTGTTATTTTTATTGTAAAACACAAATTTTATTTGTTATTATTTTGTGCTTTTTTTTATTATGGTCTATGAAATTGCGATTTCTGGATTCTTTTTTCTTTAATAAATTGTACTTAAAGTATTAAATTGTATAGTTATAACTTCAATAAATTCCTATTTTAGTTCTCCGTACACATCTTCACATCTATACTGGTATTGCACTTAGTTTTATTATCGAAAATAAAGTTTAATCATAGTGGGTGTTTTTTTATGCAAACAAATAGTTTACATAAATACAAGAAATATTGTTACAATGATATTATTTAGGAGAATTAAAACCTACAAGATAGCAGAAAATTGGTTTTTATTGTTAAAGCCCATGCAAAAGCAATTTTGAAAAGAAAATATTCAAATGTATTCATTTCTAATTTAATTTAAATCCTTTGAAATGAGTAGGAGTCTCATAGATTTAATCCAAAATAAATTTAAGTATTTAATCATAATTTTTTAAAGTTGAATTATAATAGCTTTTAAAATGAATATTTTAGATTCTTATAACGGCAAATACTGTATTAATCAATTTGAATATTCAATATTAACTTGAAACTTTTTAATTGCTACATTAACCAATTATTCTAAATCGTACTAAATATTACTATTTGTAAGTAAAGTTTGCGAATTAAGTTTCTTTAAAAATTGTATTGTCTAGTTTAGAAGGTGTTATAGAAGGTTATGAAAATGCAATTGGAAAACTTCCTTTCAGTTTTAAGGAATTTAGCAAGCTTTGAGCTAACATAACTAGAAAAGTGTGAATTTGCCTCTTAGTAGAATTTCGTTTTGTGCCACCCGAATCCTCTGAAACATTCACCAGCTAGTTTTGGTAACAACCAAATCTTTCCAAAGAATTTTTGGATTTATTCCAAAATTTAGAATATCGAGGACACACGCAGACCGGCAGGCCGATAGACCGACAAACCGACATCTCCCTAAAAGTAGTTTATTTACACTTCCCTACTATGGAGAAGTGCTTTCCCACCGAAAACTACATATCCTAAATTTGGTGCCACCACATAACCTACCTTATTGTAGATATACAATCCGGTCGACAATAATTTTATGAAATTATTCAAAGAAATATTTAAAATTTCAAGCCAATGGAGTACAGCAATCACACAGAAATCAAATATTAAAAAACTTTTGTAAATTTTCACACATAAAAAGTTTCTTTTTTATAAATTTAAAGAAACCGCAAATTTTTCATTCATTTCTAAAACAAAATACAACTTACCTCTTCTGCAAGAATGCTTTGTTTTTTGTGATTTGTCCGACAGACCTGAACTTTTTTACAGCTTATTTTTTTGGTAAAAATAATTGTCTGAGTCATTTTCTGTAATAATCAAAATATTTTCTATAATATATTTTATTTATTATGTACATATGTATGTAAATATTTGAGTTTTTATGATATAAGCTAATACCACAGTTAAATATGTTATCAAAATTATAAAATAAGTTATTAAAATTATAATAAAAACAAATTGCAAAATTTGTAATTTCATTTAAAAAATTCAGTTTTACATTGCAATCAGTTAATTCGCATGGGGTTTCTAATTTCTTTAATATGTATTTCGAATGTTAAAATATTCTTTATAGGCATATTTAAATATTAAATTCATTAAATCCGACACTACATTTATTTTATTTTTAAATATTCTTATGAAGATCTTATAGTTAAAGTACCAAATATGTTAACTTGAAACCTACCTGTCTGTTATATAAAATAAATTACTTTACAATTTCAAAATAAATACTTACGTATGTACACACACACAGATAACACTTATAAATGTACAAACATCTTAATTTATTTTATTTTTATTTACTTGTATGCATATGCAATTTAAATAAATTTTAATAATTTTTTTAATTCTTTATTTCAGGTATAAAAAATTCATTACACTACGGATTGTGTACAAAATTCTTCAAAGAATATTAACAAAAAAAAAATTCAAAATTGAGAAAAGAGAAAAAAAACACACAACTAAAACTAGTGTAAATTCAAGTTTGACAAAAAAAAAAAAAGAACACAAAACGAAAAACATTTCAAAATAGTTTAAAAATTTTTCACACAGTTGTCGCTCTTCTATATAAACATAACCTTAACAATTTCGAACACACGATATTGACAACACTAAGTATAAAATAATACACAACACAAAACTCGTAATGCAGTTATTTGGCTTCATTTAATTCAGAATTCAAAGATGTCATGGTAAAGTATTAAATGAAATTTTATTTTTCCTATACACATTATACTTTTTGACTCTTTTATTTTTGTTTTATTTTTGTGTATAAAACTTTTTAATATTTCCTTATTAAAATTTATAATAATATAATTATTTTCTGTATACACGAACATGTGTATTACAAGTATATCTTTCTTATATAAAAACAATTCGTGTATTAACTTTATATAAATACTCAAAAATATAATCATTTAGTAAAAAAGCACACAACGGCAGCTTAACCGCACATACTTAATGACTCTTCTTATTTTACATCAAGTGCGTATTTAACATTTAAGATGTCAGCGCTAATTTTTTAGTTGCAATAGTACTGTCTCTTTCCCTATAACAAAAAAGTACTATAAATGTGACAAGTGCTAAAAATTATACAGCAAAATATTGCGAAAATTTTCACTTGAAAAATCATTGTTAAAAAATTTATTTCAAGAAAATTTAACCTTAAATTAGTTTTAATTTGAGACTTAGCTCTAGTGATTTCTACTGAATTTCTACCTATAGTGATTTCTATTTATAGTAAATTTCTACTCAAACATTATTATTTATAAACTTAACATGCCAGAAATATATTACTAGTGCTTATGATCTTATTTTAATTTTAGCAAAACCCGTTAAGGTCAAAGGACATTGGAAATTTTTCTATTTTTACTTGTACTTTATACGTGAGAATAGTGAAAGTGAGAATAGAAAATAAATTTATAATAAATTTTTCTATTCTCACTGTGCTGTGTTGCTCCGAAAACCGGAAATTATATGGGTAAAATAATTCTAAATGTTTGTTAAGGAAATTAGAGACCTTCATATAAATAATAAATGTGTTGTGAGAAATCTTTAAGCTTTTTAAGCCAAAGATTTAAAAGTACATTTTTGCATTTAAATATAAAATCTAGTACAAAATTTCTCAATTATTTTGAATAGAAAAAAAATTCCGTATTAAAACTTAATTATTAAGTATTGTAAATAAGTATAACATTTTAATTAGCACAATCTCCTTAAACTGGTCTAATTTCTGTACAATTGCATTCAAGTACCTTTCAATTACGATCATACATTTTTATCAATATCACTGATTCCCGCTATTTTAAAAATTTCCTTAATTTGTCTTATTTCAACTGCTGTAGTATTTTTATATTAAATTTTCTTATTTTTTCAATTTTCATTTGCTGATAGTTGTGATTATTTTACTGCTAAGTTAATAAGTCGAAATATATAAAATTATAAACTTCTGCCTGACGATCATTACCATATGTCTTATCATTATTATTATTTTTATTATTTGAAATAATGAGGATCATGAGTTTTGAGGTTTTAATACTTGTATCATAAAAATAGCCTGTCCAACCTGTGTCAATCAATTTGTATAAATTATTATTGAAAGCAAGTTCTTATTAATTTTTTTACTTGCATTTTTAACATCCCCGCAAAACAAGTTCTGTCCTTCTCTGACATACATTACAATCACTTTTTTTTACTTTTGCTTCTGCTCCATACAGATTATTTATTTTGAATTCATAATCAAACGAATATAAGACCTCATCTTCATCATCATTAACATATGGATATACACATATGTATGTACGTGTAGAGCAGAATGTAGCAATGGCAGAAGCATTAACAAATTTAAGAAATATAAAACGTTGAAATATAAAGTTGGGTCAAACCAATGGTTTGTATTGTAGCACTTTTCCCTTCAACAAGTGAAAATACTGCTTTTAAAAACAGTCTATGTATATCCACCACACTATTAAAATTATTTTCATTTATAAACGAAACTATTTCTAGGATTGCATAAATTTAGGATGAACCATTTATGCAGTCTTTGAAATAAAGCAAAAATTAATATAAACAGGGGTTAACATAATGTTCGATTTTAAGGGCTAATTGTGTGAGTTAAGAAAAATAATTATATTTTTTAATGTCATGGAATTTACCGTTAACTTTTTGTGTTTATAGAAATTTGAAAAAACTTGCGGTTTCAGAAATATAAGGTGTCAAAAATGCAAATTTTACAAATTTCAAGAGGCCATAACTTGAGAGGGGGTGGAGATGGAAAAAAATTTTCTTCTAACGAAATGAACTACTTGTTAATATCTAAAAGCTCCTAAAATTTCAAGCTTCTACAGGCTGGGGTCTAGAAAAAAAATGACATCAAAAATTTGGAAAAAAAGGACTTCAGATAACGGTAAATTTGAACGGCCATTTTGTTTTTCTAAAGTTTAACTATAGTATACCGCGATAGGGGAAGCAAGCCACTGCCTTTCTGCGTTTGCGAAATTTCAAAAATGCTTATGGTTTCATTGCAACAAATAGTTAAAATAGGCCATTTTTAGTGCTTTGGGGGGGTATAACTTCTAGAGGGGGGGAGATAGGTGAAAATTTTGTTCTACGAAAATAAGTTTCTAGTGAAGATCTATGTACGTATTAAATTTCAGCTTTCTATCATTAAGAATGTAGAAGTTTTGTAAACAGACACACGGACGGACGGACGGACGGACGGACGGACGGACGGACGGACGGACGGACGGACGGACGGACGGACAGAGTGAAACTAATAAGCACTTTTTTTCAAAAAATTTTTGGAAAAGTGCTAAAAAATATGAAAATATAAGTACATTAGCAGAAAGGTAAAATTCATTAAAAATGATCATACCGTATTAAAATATTAAATTTCATTTTTATAATATTGCTATATTAATTAAGGTGGGTAAAACGAATTTAGAGAATAAAATGACAAGTTGTACACATCGTAAACGTATTTAATGCAATAATGCAACAGAAAAAGAAAAAAAACACCAATCTGATAATGAAGTAAGACAGAGAATTTTTGTTATTGCCTTTTCTTTTTCTTTCGATTTTACGGTAATAAAAAATTCAAAATTTGCAATTTTATCACACTCTGTTTTAAAGAATGTCATAACAAACGCCTTAAATTATACCAAAGAAATATACAGCGAAAAATTATTATTATTGGTTTTTTTATTAATAAATTTGTTAATAAATTTTATTTGCAATTAGCCGTTTTGGTTGATTTTAAATGCGATTTTTTTTCATCTGACACCTGAGATTGTCATAAACTTTATTTAATTTTATACATTATTCGAATATTATGCACACTTTCTTTGTTGATTGCGTGTAAAATGAAGTTCAATTCCTTGAGAAAGGTGAAAGAAAAGTGTGAAATCGAAATTGATTAATAATTAAAATTTAATAATGTAATAATTAAATTATCTTTATAATTATAGCACTATATTCAAAATCAATTGCCCTTAAATTATGACATTTGTATTAGAATGCAAATATTGCTAGAAAACTAATTGTTATTTATAGAAACTCACTTTTAATTAAAAAAATTGATTTCCTATAAAAATTTCATTTAATCCCAATTTTGGGGAGGTCACAATTTAAAAATAAAACAAGGAAAAAAATTTTTACCATGTCGAAAAATGTCACTAATATCACGTCCATTTTCAGAAAATAAACTTAAAAATTTAAAAGTCAATTTCCTTATTTATTCCGAATTTTAATTCAGCATCATAATTTTGTTTGATATTTAAATTTTATACGTATTTAAAAAGTTATCTTACATTCTATGAATCTCTAAAACTGAAGTCACACTGAAAAAAAAATAGAATACTGTTAAAGCCGTCCGGTACAGTTGGAATTGAAGAACCGCGATCAAATTTTTTAGGGTTATTTCATTTTCTAAGCCCAAGTTGGTGATTTGGGGAAGAACCGGGATCCAAAGAGACACTTATCCAACTGAAAATTATTGTCAAAATATAGGAACTGACTACTTAGTTTAAACGATTACGTAAATTTCGTGTTTCAGGATTATTTCCTTTCTTTAGCAAAACTTAGTTAGAACTTTTAAATAGCACTTGGTTAATTGCACTTCAGATGCAACATATCTGAATATAGCTGCAATATAATAAATATATATTTATAATTCGTTAATATTACATCAAAATAATTAACTTTGACTACTGATTTTTATTACTTGGAAAAGCACAGAACATCAGATGAAAAATTGCTTTGAAGCACTAATTCAAAGACTCTTGTGTTTTTTTTAGCTTTAAAATGTTTGGGACTTTAATTTCTTTCAAGTTGTTAAAAAATGTTCATTTAAAAAAAAAGAGAGGATAATAACCGCTTTTATTGCATATCCAAATTGATTTTTGTGCGATATTTCATCAAATTACAATTTTAACATAATCAAAATTAAAACTACAATTTTTGCCACATGCCTCATGTATTCGTCATACTTACAAAAACATCAATCATCAGACAATAACCACATGTAAAAAATGAATTATCCTGCGAGATTTTTTTACTTCAACAACATGTTTTCCTCTTTTGTACTCCAAAACTAAAACATAAAAATTATTATTTTTTTTTTATTATTAAAAAAATATCAAAGCTCATTTTCATCATTTACGTCTCTATTAAAAGTAAATTTTTTCAAAAGTCTTTGGCCTTTAAAATCTCATACCCATACATTATTTTGCAATAATGTCATCATATCCTTAAATGCAAAAAAAAAAAAAATAAAAATTGTTAAACTTTTTATCAAACAACAACAAAATGCATTTTTTTGAAATTTATTCAGTTTTATTCATATATGAGTGTGTGTGTTAACGAATCTCATATGTATCATAATCATCAAAAGTATATTATCATTGTCTCATCATCATCATCAATATCAACATCAGAAGGATACCGAACCAAATAGGATGATGACTTTAGAAAAAAGTTTTTGTTTTTAAATAGAAAAAAATTGTCTCTTTATTTTTTGCTACTTTTGTATTTCTAAAAAACATTTTGCATCTGTAATTTTTCATCTCAAAACATACATACATATCAAAGGATTTTGCTATTTGATATATCCGTATGATTTATATACGTTTATTACATTGCATATTTAATACATTTGTAGATGTTCACATATTTTCAAGTGATGTACAATAAGACA